AAAAAAAAAAAAAAAAAAAAAAAAATTGTGTCCATGTAAAGCACTAGACAGAGTGGCTTGATGCAGTATGTGGTAAGGGTTCTGCCATTTTCCATTGTTGTAAGGGCCCTTTTTTGCCCCTCCCCCCCATGTAGATAACTATTATGTTCCCAATTTACAAAAAGGACTTGGAGGCTTACAAGAGTGCCCATGTCCATAGGGGGGGCCTTGCCTGTAGCAGCATTCTCTACTTTTTACTTTTGGGGTTTTGTTTTTACCCAGGCTGGCCTCAAATTCATGATCCTGCTGCCTTACCCTCCCAAGTAGTTAGGATTCCAGGCCTCTAGCACCATGTGCAGAGAGCCTCCGCACTCCTTACCCTGCCCATTGTCCCTAGTTCTCATCATGTATGTCTCATGAAAATACGTTTGACTTTTTAGAAAAACGCAGACCTCAAGCATTCCTTTTCTTCATTTAAAATGAGTATTTCTGGGGCTGGGGATAGAGCTCAGTGACTCTCGCCTCTGCCTGGCAAGTACAAGGTTCTGAGTTCAAATTCCAGTTCCAAAAAATGAAATGAGGGGGTCAGGGATATAGTTTGGCAGTCTAAGCACCTGCCGGGCAAGTGCAAGGACCTGGGTTCAATCCCTGGTACTGGATGCCATACGGGCCTTGCACTGAATCAGCCACCGAGACCAGGCATAGTGGTGCATACCTATAATCCCAGCACCAAGGAGACTGAGACAGGAGGATCACTACAATTCTCAAGACCGTGTACTAAATAAATAAATAAAAGATTTTTAAAAATTAAAAAAAGTTCAATCCCCAGTTCTGCCAAAAAAATTAAATTAAATTAAATTTAAAAAAAAAATGAGTATTAATGTATGTGTGCATATATACTTGGATCTAGGGCCGGCCAAATAGCTTAGTGGATTAAAGTGCCTGCTTAGGCAGACACAGGGGCCAGGATTTGATCCCTGGGCTGGCCATGCCAGCCCCACCACTGGGGCATGTTGAGATTAGCGACTGAGACTGCGCTTGGTGGTGTGTACCTGTAATCCCAACACTTGGGAGGCTGTAAACAGGAGTATCACTACAAGTCTGATCTACGTAGTGAGACCCTGTAGACACTTGTAGACCCTGTACGAAATTAAAAAACAAAACAAAACAGGTCTATATAGAGAATTTCTCTAGGCTATAGTTTTCGTGAAAAAAGTGGGGGTTTTTTGGTTTTGTGCTTGTTTTTTTGGTACTGGGAATCTAACTCATGACCCTGTGCTTGCCAAAAAAAGATTTTTTTAAAAAAGTATACAACAAAATCATTCAGCAATAAGGGAAAAAAAAACAACACGATGTTGAGACTGTCTTACCTGAGTAATAACTAAAGAAAATAAATTCATTCTGGTGTTTTTAATAACAGGTCCATGAGAGATCACACACGGGAGACCGGCCTTATCAGTGTGAGCATGCAGGCTGTGGGAAAGCATTTGCAACAGGTAAAAACATCAGTGTTCTTTTTGTTGGTTCCAGTGGGGAGTCAGGCACAGAGGCAGGACCTGAGCCTTTATCCTTGTCTGGTTCACAGTAGCACATGAGCTTTCAATTAGTATTTTACCCTTAATATCTGCTATATTTTTCTAAATCTTAATCTCAATGAGTATTAGGGGTATATTGTGTAATTAAATTTCTTTTAAATTTTTCTTAAAGGTTACGGATTAAAAAGTCATTTCAGAACTCATACAGGAGAAAAGCCATATCGGTGTTCAGAAGATAATTGTACTAAATCTTTCAAAACTTCAGGAGACCTACAGAAACATATCAGAACTCATACAGGTACTAATGTGAGCAGAAGGCCCTATCTAGGCCAGGGATTGTAATCTGCAGGAAGGAGATTTGTTGAAATTGTTTCTGAAAAAGTCTTAGGTCATCGGATTGCGGATGTCTCTTAACTGCTGGGATTGCATGCGTGTTGTTGGTGCAAGTCTGCTTATTCCTAGGACAAGGACCCAGAGCTCTGTTGAACTCACAAACTATGTACAGTGGGAATTTGGGGAAATATTTAGATTCCCCAGAAAGATGAGCAATGGTTCTAGACCAACAACCCCCTGAGTTTTCAGAAATTATCTGAACAGCTGGCCTGTTTACCTAGGATTGCACATTTCATTGGTAGCAGAACTGAGACAGCACTTTGGGCATCCTGCTGTTTTTCACTTTATTCATTGCTTTTCCTGCCCTCCTGCTCTCCTGCCCTAAGCTGCTGCTAAAGAAAATATTAGCCCTTAATACTCGCAAAGAAAGAAAATCTTGTTACATCCCATAATCATCTCCTTTCCTGTTTTTTGTTTTTTTTGTTTTTTTTTTTTTTTTTTTTTTTGCAGAACTAGGGATTGAACTCAGATCCTTGTGTTTGCCAGTCAAGCGCTTATCCTACTAAGCCATCTCCCTGACCCCCTGTTTTCTTTTTTAAGCAAGGTCTCACTATGTAATTCAGGCTGCCTTGAACTCACTTTGTATATGTTCTGCTGAAGTGAGCACTTTGACTCACTTTGTAGCCCATGCTGGCCTTTAACTTATTGTGATCCTCCTGCCTCAGCCTCCTGTGTGCTGGGATCACAGCCAAGTGCCCCATTTAGGCATTAAGATTTAACCTCAATTTTTATTTATTTATTTATTTTTGTTGGAACTGGGGATCAAACTCAGGCCCTTGCACTTGTCAGGGAAGCACTTATTCCGCTGAGCCACCTTCCTGGCCCTAAATGACAGAAGGATTTTTTTCTTTTTTTTTTTTTTTTTGCTCCGAATGCTTTCAGGGCAGGTTTGGCTGGCTTGAGTTGTGGGGATTGAACCCCAGCAACCTGAGCCTTACTGCTTTGTGGAAGCAGCCATTTAAAGAACTGAGCTAAGGGGCAGGCCCCCTCAATTTTAAAATATGATCTCATATTAGCTTTACTTCATAATACTTAGGATCAGAGCTATAGGTTTCTACATCCATCTCATTCATGCTCTTTTTTTTTCTGGTGGAAATGGGGATTGAACTTAGACCCTTGCACTTGCCAGGCAAGTGCTTATTCTACTGAGCCATCTCCCCAACCCCCTCATGCTCTTATTTTTATCAGGAGAAGTGTTTCTTCTAGCTCCTGCAAATTCTGTTTGTTTTTACAGTAAAGCCAACTCATTGTCTAAAAGCTATATATAAACAATCTGGTTTTATTAATACTAATAAAAAAATCAGGATTTGTATGGGCCAGGGAGATGGCTCAGTAGAATAAGCGCTTTCCTGGCAAGCGCAAGGGCCTGAGTGGAATCCCTGATTCTGCAAAAAAAAAAAAAAAAGGATTAATAGCAAACCAAATGTCTGTATTACCAGTTTCAAAATCATATTTTCATTGTTATGGGGCTAGCTAAATAGCTCAGCAGATTAAAGCACCTGCAAGGGGCCAGGAAGATAGCTCAGTGGATTAAGTGCTTCCTGGGCAAGGGCCTGAGTTCAATCCCTGGTTCCGGGGGAAAAATAAATAAATAAATAAATAAATAAAACACCTGCAAGCAGGTACAGGGGCCGAGGGTTCAATCCCTGAGCCTGTCGTGCTGGCCCCACCTGCAGGGCACGCTGAAATGCCAATTGAGACTGGGCATGGTGGTGCCCGCCTATAATCCCAGCTCTTGGGAGGCTGTAAACAGGCGGGGCACTACGAATCCAATCTAGTAGTGAGACCCTGAACACCCTGTAGACCCCTTACCAAAATAAAAATTAAAAAAAACCTAAAAATAAAAAAATAAAGTGGGGCCGAGGAGATGGCTCAGTAGAATAAGCACTTCCCTGGCAAGCACAAGGGCCTGAGTTCAATCCCCGGTTCCACCAAAAGAAAAAAAAAAAGTAAAATTAATTGGAATAAAATTGGGTGGAATAAGGAACAAAGAAAATTCTTTTTTTTTTGAACCGGGGATTGAACTCAGACCCTTGTGCTTGCCAGGGAAGCACTTATTCTGCTGAACTATCTCCCTGGCCCCAGTTTTTAAAAGTTTTATTTTTACTTTTTTTTTTTTTTTTTTTTTTTAATGAATTTAGAACAGGGTGTACAGGGTCTCACTACACAGATTAGACTCATGATGATCCTCCTATTTTCAGCCTTCCAAGCTCTGTGATTACAAGCATGTGCCACCATCTTGCCCAGACTCAATCCTGGTCTCAGGGTGCCCCAGGGGGCAGGCCAGCAGGGCTGCAGGGAATGGAACCCGGTCACTACACTCTGCCGAAGCAGGCACTTTAGTCTGTTGAGCTATCTGGCCGGCCCTGTTTACTTATTTAGTACAGGGTCTTGCAATGCAGCTCAGACTCATAGTGACCCTCCTGTCTCAAGTCCCCACTGCTGGGATTACAGGTATGCTCCACCACCCCAGGTTT